AACTGGCACTCGCCTTTCCTCGAGACATGGCCGTGCGCGCTGGATCGTCTGTGCTCTACTTACTAGTGAACAATGAATCGATGTGGCCGTTTGAAATGAAATGTATATCGATCGTTATGTCTTTGGCTGGTATTCGTAATTATCACCGAAAGCCACGTGGGCATTTTATTTCAAATGGCACCTTTGACCTGCTACCTTTCCCTTGGAAGCTATACTTACAAGGAAAGGTTCATTGTGTGGGGCCAGCTAGCGCGTGGCCCTGTGAAGGCAGATTTGGGATGCACAGGTCCATGCTCAGAGTTCAGTCTATGGACAGTGCTCGCTTACAGATGCCCACGCATACATTCGTTTGTTACGATTGCTGTGGGTCGAACCGGGCTTGGCGCGACCCCAGCTCATTTTCCACCAATTGTTGACGCTTGCTCGCTTCAACAAATGGCGGGGTACGGGCTGGCACAGCGCCCAACCCAGTCCTCCACCTCCTGACACGCCCCAGCAATTGTAGCGAATAGGATTGACTGTATGTCCTGCATCTGTTCAAAAGCAACACATGGGAACATATGGAGAAAAACCTGTTTCTTGAAAGGATTTTTATAGCAATTCAAACTGAAAACGAATTCATTTCTGAATGCAGTTTTATAAAAATTGATTTTATTGAAAAATGAAAAGAAATGCACTGAACACGTCAAGGAAAGATGAGCACTTACAACGACATCAAGACACTATTAAGAATTTCTAATGAAAATTTACAAAACATCTGAAGCAACGCGCAAACCCGTTGCGACAATACCAATGCACCAACATTAACATGTTCACGAAATTTCGTGTAAAAGGTGTAAATACACAACCGACTCTTCTCCACAATGTGGCATACTTCACCTGTGTGTACTGTAGATGAGTAGTAGCCGACATATGTGGAGATTAAGAACGTAGTTGTATAACGACTACTTTGGCTACATGCATGGTTTTACATTTTCATTTAAAGCAGTGGTTCTTAAGTTCAGGCCACACCAACGGTAACTTTCAACCCACCATATGCACTCTGTGCTCTAGAAATGGGAAGGGAGTGTCCACATACCTGAGCGCACCAGCAGCTGCATACCCATGAGCAGCTTAACGGTTCATGCAGAAAGGCTGTGTCGTGTTTCGATTTTCCCAGTTCTGCCCGCGCTCAGGCGGCGTTCAGACTTCGCGACGGCTGCGCTTCGGTTGCGCGTTCGATGCGCATGCTTTCAACTGCATCGATCGCGTCGAAGCGCGCGACCTAAGCGCTGTCTGCGCTGTGTGTCTGCGGTTCAGCCCGCATCGGCAGACATTCTGAGCCTCTGCGCTGACACCCAAATTCTGGGGCACGCCTTGCCTCGCGTGCCGCGTCGCATACGCGAGAATTCAGCTTTATCGTTGTGCTAGGCGCTAATGTAGGGAGGTGGACTGGTCGCGCCTCCCTGCCATTCCACCAAAAACAGGAGGCTTAGAGTGCAGACGACCACAGTGGTAATGGGATGGTCCCGCAGAGAACAAAATCTTCACTAAGCCTAGTCCTTGATTAAGGGCTGAGGAGGTGCTGGCGAATGGTCCACACCACCCCTCCTCCCAACTGCTCAGCGCACTATTGTAGTTGGAAGTGGGACACTCGCCAATAAAACTCGGCCACACCCGTTTCACGTCGTCTGTCTCTCTGAGACAATGCTCAGCAAAGTTTGGCCGGGAACGGTGAGGGCGCATATTAGCAGAGAGTGGGCGGAGCTAGTCCCATAAATTGCCCTTCCTTCCCTCAAGGTACGCTAGAACTACAGTCACATAAAAAATGCGATCCAAGGTGACGTGTACATAAAAGTATTACCGTGAACGTGCCAAACAATAACTAGTAATCAAGAAAAATGGTTGCTCAGCTATAACAACATTTTAGTTAAATCTCTATCAAATAAAATACAATATTAGACTCTTCAAACATGCTTTGAATCGGGTTCCACCGCAGCATCCATCGTGTCCGATAACTTCCGGAGATCGTGTCGGTACTGGCTTACCTGAAATAGAACAATTATTGAAAATATCTCCCAAACTCAGTGCATGCAAAACCAGGATTGAGTCCAACAAGTCAGCTACGGAACTCGGTGGCCGCCGATGGACGCGGTAACGCAAGAGATACGTTCAAAACCACCATCGACAAAATCGATTGGTTTCAGTGAGCCGTTTCGCAACCGCACACGTGAACAACTAACGAGTCACTGAGTGGACTAATTATGAGAAGGACTGAATTGCTGGCACTATTCAACTATTACTACCCCAGTTTTGCGAAAACAGGCCGGATCTTGATCGACTTTTTTCTACGGGGGTGGATTTGGCTGAAAGTTGGGTTCTAGGGGTAATTCGACCTCCTGAACACGAATATCACATCAGCTTGGCCTGAAATTGCCTGGCGCCCGCGCCA